GTGTGTGTGTGTGTGTGTGTGTGTGTGTGTGTGTATGGCCAGTTAAATATTTGTACAGCTATGAGATGAAAGCAAAAAGGATTGCAAAGTGGAGAGGGAAGCTAGGATACAAATGGTGCAACCAGCCAACCAGGAAGTGAAATTTTCCATTTTCCAATAAATAATGCAAGAGTAAGGGGAGGAGAGCGGAAAGAGAAAGGGGACCGCTAACCCAAAATCACTTGATAACAAATAAATTGTCTCGCGACAAAAAATCAACAATATGAAAGTAATTTTTCCAAGATCAAAATTCACTGGACATGTTGAAATGAGGTAAACAAGACAATTATACGTTCAACCAAAGTTGCAATTTCAATTCACATCATCGCTGACAAATCTCATCATAAATATATTGACGAAAGAATCTTATGTTAAACTCAGCACAGGATAATCTTTGATTCTTCAATTAGCAGTGGATTAGGTGGAACAGTTCCAGAGTTATCTTCGCAGATACATGCCCCCATGTTATGATGTCAACTACGAGAATCACTATACTTGAGAACTATTCCATGTGATATCCTCATTTTCAATATTATATTTTGAAATACAATGATACGGTATAAACAAAGTGTCATATATTGTCATGTCAAATCTTTGCAGTATGTAATGCAGACTTCAAAATCATACAACGAATTTTTTGTGTTCGATATGGAATATAGATCGAAAATTATTTATCTGAAGTTAAGAAGCTAGTAAATTGCAAAGGTTAATAGATCTAATAAATATCTGGTTTATTTCAGAATAAAATATTTTCAACAAACTGATAAAAATCAACAAAAAGCAATACTGTGATGAAACAATCATTAAGATCGAGAATCTCTTCTAGCTCGACCTTTCCTTTGCTTCCCCACTTTCAGGCTCTTCCCGCGTGTTTTTTTCACCTTTTTCATCTTGTTTTGGAAATGCTGCTGTCGATGAATAGTAGATTTTGACCGTCTCAGTTGCTTGCTTTGATTTTTCTCCACATTTCTTAAACACAATCGATTCAAATATATAAATATTTTAAACGGTATAAAAAACATCATTTTACATTTTTAAGATAATGACCGACAATCTTGCTAGCAAATGACTTATATAAAATATGTACAGAGTTAATATCACAAGCGAATCTCAAATAAAGTTGTGCAGCACACTAATGACAATGATCATAACAATCAAGATAGTATTTAAATTGTCATTCCCCTTCTCAAAAATTTAAATCAATACTAACGGTTGTTGATTGCCCTGCTGACTTGCTGCCAAACGCGTTTCGTTTAAGACGATTTTTTTGGAAGACAACCTGTCCAGGATTTGCAATTGTTTTTTTCGTTCACCAGAAACATCTACCTCATTCGGTTCATACTGCAAAATAATCGTTAGCAAGCAATATACTTTACTTCAGTTTTCATAAAAAAAAACAGCCCACTGCATCTCTGGTTTTCGTATAATGGGGTATTTCGAAGCTCAATTTCTTTTTTCCATTTGAAAACATAAAACCGTACTACAAAAGGTGAAGGTTACCTTGTGATGTTTACCCGTCTTCAACAATTTCTTCTCATTTTTAATTGCCGGTTGAAATGCACCATGAGATGCGGTAGAATACCGCGCTCGATTTATCTGGTTTACTAACTGCAAAGAAGGTAAAAAGATATATTGCCCAATCAGTTTTAACGTCTATAACAATATCTTCAGCGGAATGTTTGATAAAGTATAATATAGTTTGAAATGTTCAGTTGACTGATCTTATAATATAATTAGTTATATCAATCTAAACTTCATATTTGTTCGTTAATTTCAGGGAAGAACCGTGCAAATATTATAAATTAAACACTCCATTGAAAGGGTAATGAAATATAAGAAAATGCATATTAGGATGTTTTTTTAAACTTGAAATATGAATTTTTATGAAGCAAAAAATCAAACTTCATGTCTACTCCGATTCTTTAAATCAACGGCAATACCAAGAGGAGTTGCATTTGACGATGAAATTCCGTTCAAGCGAGCGATGTTGCGTAAACGTTGCATTTCATTTTTGTCCACTCTTTCTCTCTTTGCTTTTTGTCGTTCATCGAAATAATCAATCATAGGATCTGAGAGGTATATTTTTGCTCAAAAACATATAAATCAAATGGGGCCAAAAATAGTTTGAAAAGGTAAAATTCCCATAAAATTCTTATCCAATTCAAATTAGTAATCACTCGCCAATTCAGACTGAAACCTAATTTCGGACTTTGGGACTCTGCACAAGGTATAGCTTCTTTGATATTCCAGTGTCGATATTTCACCCTATATTTTAAATAAAAAAGAAAATAAAATCAAAGCAGTTCAAAACGAACAGTTCAAAAGTCTCCGTTTATTTACAAGTATGACTAGAATAGCAAAAAGTTAATTATTAGTTTTCAGAACTATAAGCTGAATCATTTTTGAAAGAAATTTATTACCTTTGTTGTCTGGTATTTCGATTAGCCAATCTTTAGCATTATTATTTTTGACACTTTTATATCCATATCTTGCTTTCCATTCCTTAAAAAAATAACGTAGGAATTCTGCTTTACTTCAATAGATCTTCAAAGATTTTTCATACTATTTAAAATTACATCACTTACAAAAAAGCATCCTGACTAAATAACTCCAACCTGAGTTTGTTCATCAAAAAATTTTCGATCTTGCTTTTTCTTCCGTATTCCTTTCTGCTGTGCATACTGTTCCCATTTAGTTAGCTGACGTTCAGATGGTAAAGGTTTCTCTCGAGGAAGTCGAAATAATGGCGCTGGCAACTATATGAACAGGAAGTCAACATGACAACACATTTATAAAACATCTTTAAAAATCGCAAGCAAGCTTATTACACATCATCAAAATTAATGAACAAGATTTGAAATGAGTAAAATTCGGGTCAATAAAAATTTACAAGTACGTAGTACAATTAAAAACATACTTTTGCACAGATAGCTTCATCAATCCGTTTCCTCTCCAATTCCCATATTTTATTGAACAAGAATTGCGTATTATCTCGTATTCTTGCTGAGAGCTCTTCCTCATTTAGCTTGCTGAAGTATAGTGCAGATAGAAAGGAACTAAGATCAACAATGTTTAGCGGGTCTGAATCCAGAACTGCATCGACAGAGACTTCAAAAAACTTACTTTGTTGAACCCTCATCTATCAAGGGATCCTTATCAATGATAAGCAAGTTACCCGCATCAACAAATGGATCTAAAATTTTATCCACTTCCGTTGGTAACAATACAAATCCTTCTTCCATTCTGAAAAAAATTTTTCTGAAAAAAAAAAAACACCCTAAGAAAAATCACAATAAGCAGAACAAGCAACATTAAACAATGAAAAATAGTTGATAATAAATCACAATAAATAATACCGAACTACCAATGCACAGTCGACTTCAAAACTTTTACTTTTTCAATAGAAGTCTTCGAGTCCAAATTATGAGAATACTATTAAATAAGCAAAAATTGCATGGGAAAATTGACAAAACCAGTCAAAAACAACAAAGTAATGGAATCTTTATTTCACGTTATTGAAAAATACTTCATTAGAACAAAGGAAAACTGTGTCCAAAAATGTGTAGAATGCATGAAATAGAACAGTAATTGGAAGAGATACTTAATTGATGAGTATATTGATGAGTATGAGAAGCACTGAATGAATTCTTTTTGAATGCTTCTGAATATATAAGTATATGCAGTAATATAACATTTACTGGTACATTGAGTAAAAGGAATGAAATTAAAAAACTGATACATCGAGTAAAAGGAATGAAATAAAAAAAGTAAAAGAAATGAATGAAAAAGATAAAAAGATAATAAAGGACCATCAGTTTATTCAACACGACCATGTATATCTGTCCCACAGAAAAATTTCATGGACCAAATAGTCAAATTAATAAAAATTTCTTAAAAATATATTTATTATACAAACATGACCCTTTATAATGCACACTTTGGTATAATGGATATACTTTATAAATTTGGAAAACTACGAAAACATGAAAACAATTTTGAAAACATATAACATGAATACAATTTTCAATTAAATAACATATATGTAGAATACATCAGAAATTCACTCTTCATAGATAATATCTTCACGATTTTCATATTCAAAAAAGGCATCAAGATCAGTTAACATACCCACTACCGTACCACCTTTGCCCGATGAAATCAATTCTTTTAATGTTATCCTGAAATTCAGAAGGTATGTCAAAATTTCAACTAAAGTAAATAATTAATTGAACAAGTCAAATTATTAACCAAGTCAAAAAAGAAAATACTTTTCTACCGTACCCTTCAGGATTTTTTGAATGGCACATATCGAATATTTCATTCTTGATGTCCTCGAATGTGGGAGCTTTTTGCGAACTACCATCTGCGAAGCAATCTTCTAACATTCTTGCAAGATCACGATAGAAAAAATTCAGATCCGAAGCAGTTAATAAATTATCACCATCAACGTCCAGCACTCGAAAGTAATAACTCAGTGCGGAACGATCCTAAATTTTCCATATCCAAAAAATAAAAGAATAAACACGAGAATAGAATACATTAAAACAAGTCAACAAAACGGTACTGCAGATGTGAAATTTCAAAAATTGCCAAATAAAAAATTTAAATAAGCGATAAACTTACTGATTTATGCTCCATTGCAAGTAGAAGATCACAAAATCCTCTTAAATCAAGTTCATCATTATCATAAGTTTGTTGAACTTCGAAAACTCTAAAAAAGTTGGGCATTTCAAACTCAAATTCCTAGAGACAGTGTTCAGAAACAAAGTTTAGGCACAAAAAAATACAAGCAAAGTTGAAAAACCTCTGCATAAAAGAATTCGTGACACGCTGAAAATCAGTCATTTCTGTAAAACTCAATAATCCGTTACCATCTGTATCAAGCTGTTCGTACAGATCTTTTATTCTCAAACAGTTTCGTTTCGAAAACCTGTGATTTAGAAAAAAACGGAGATAGTACGTATTGTATAAGTACATTTACATTATTATACAGCAATCTTCCATATTTGGAATTTGTTAATAAAAACAGCTATATTTGACTTAAGTAAATATTTCTGATCATGCTTTTCGTGCCGTATTTGTTATTGTGCTATCACTTTTAAAAATATAGCAATTTGGATAGCCAATTATAGAATCCGTTAATAACATTAAGCATAAGCTACACAAAATTGGGCTTTTTTTACAAATTTTAAATACATGAATTATAAAATGATGTGATGTATGCGAGCAAACTTGAAACAAACCAATTTAATGTACTTATAGTTTGAGATGTTCCTTGTTCAACTTCTGCAGATTCATCATTACCATCATCAGCACTACCATTCGATGATCCATTTAGAGTCTCAAATTCTTCCAATAACCGACTAGCTACAATGTCAACGATACGAATTTTTTTTTGCTGCATCGTATCGAGCAAAAAGAAAAATTTTCGTGTAGCCATACATAAATAATAATCCTGTAGCATTGGCTCTTCTTCCTGAAGAAGAAGGAATAAAAAAGCATGTTTTTAGATTAATATATGAATCAAATAATTGATTAAACACAGAGGATCAGCTTAATCAAAAGTCAACCAAAAGTTGAAAGCATGGAACTTTTCCAGTCTCATATATCATATCTTGGATATATTGCACCATCACTGCAAGATTGGGCTTGTATTTGGTTTAATTACATCATTTTTCAACCAGTGGTGGTCTTTTATTTCTGATTTTGATACAGTCTTTTTCACTTTATGCTGCAAGTTTAAAAAATTTTTTGATTGAAATTCCTGATAATAATATGACTAACATTCAAATTCGCAAGAGAGGGTATATGAGGTAGCACTTCTTCTTCTAAAAAATCTCGTAAATCCTGCAAAAATAATTTGAAAAAAGAAAAAATTTTCAAACTAATATAAAGTTTGAATCTGTAATAAAATGTACTTTAAAATACATTTATTTTAAAAGAAGGAAAAAAAATGATCACCTCCGTCGATAAATAGCCTTTGCTTGCAGAATCGTAATAATGTAAATGGATCAATTTGCTTAATTTGTTTTTTTTAGTTACCAGATAGTCGATAACAGAATCAACAGCTACACTTCCGCTGTCTTTAGTGTTGCTAATTTGAAGCAAATCCATAAAAGTTTTCGTAGATAAGAAGTCTTTCAAAGCTTTCGGAGCGAGATCCATTACTTTCTGGAGAAAATGCAATACACTATGTTTCAAAGAACATATAACACATTACACACTGTAACAAACTACCTCAAATACTTATTTCATAAACATAAATTGTAAGGTGCTTGTTCAATCTTTTAATACGATCTCCATAATAAAGAGAAAGCTGAAAAGCATTTACAATCACTAACCTTATAACCATAATAGTCAACAAGTTTGTTGTCCCCACTTCTTGAGTAACTCGCACTATTCCGTAGATTGATACAAAATAACTAAAATAGATTTCTTAATTCGGAAGGAATTCAATAAAAAAATTCAATAATTCATAAAAAAATAAGTGGGAAATAAGTGGGAAATTTATAAGGAAATAAATGAAGAAATCTTGTCAGTAGTAAATAGAAAGCTACTGATTAAAAAAATTACTGAGAATGGTAATATAAATATATAAAAAAAAAAATTATTTTTATCAAGAAACTGATAGAAATATAAATATACCTCAATGTCTTCATTGCTTGGCAATGATTCTAGCTTATGTTTCCACATGCGACGACGAGCTTCTAAACGCAGTTTAAGTCGTAAATTTTGCTTGCTAGGTGGATTAACACATTCTTTAGCTGCACACACCAGTTTACGCTGAAATTATCAAAACAGTGAAAAAGCCATATTTCCAAATAACCTCTTTTTCCAAATAATCTCTTGTGTTTTGATGAAAATTGTCTAAGCTATATGTTCCAGGAAAATTAAGAAACTGGAAAAAAGAAATAAATAACCTCTTCAGATAATTTCAGACAGTTGATTTCATTTGGTTGCAAGTCTAATCGTTCAACCAAACTCACCATATCCACTGACTTTAAGATAAAATAATTCCACTGATATTGATCTGTAACTTAAACCGCATAGACAATTCTATTAGCGCTTAAATTCACTGACACAATTTCTATTTACAGAATCAAATTATAAACAGTGAAAATCGTGACGCTTGATAATCAAAATAATAAAATAAACGTAAATATGATGAAAAAATTGAGAAACCACTGTTTTTTGTATAGAATCAAAAAAATAGCTATTAAAATTACTCAATTATCAGCATTCCGCATTCAGTCCTAATTTTCCTGCAAATAACGTGATTTTCATGTATGGTGAACATTTAAATCAGGATTTAAAATTGGTCGAGTAATTTCGATAGAAAATAATCAACAGTGATGTAGAAAACGTAATGAGTAAAACATCAATAATGGAATGACATGTTTAATATAAAAAGAATGTATTCCTAAAATATTTATACCGATGACAAATATTAAAATATAACTTTATAACAATAAAGTGAACAAAATGAAGGAGCACCAGCAAAATGAGAAATTAAGAGAAAAATGAAGTAGGAAATTCACATGAAGCAAATACTCTGACAAACTGTCAGAATCTCTAACAAAAATATAACCAGGATGATTAAACTTTTCGTGATATAACATTCAACTGTGAAGATTTTTTCAGAGTTCCTTTTTTTCAATTATCAGAAAACTTTTTTCGGGATTTCTTCTTTCTCCATGAGATTATTATAAGAAAGAGAAGTTGCTGACTATTAAACCTCGGAAGACAAGCGCTATCTCGCATTTGAGTTTTCGTGCACCGTTTTTATGTAGTAGAAAGAATTACATTCACGTTAAAGCTCTTTTTTTAATATGAGATGCTTTTGACTTGAGGTAATCTGGAAGGCTAGACATAATGTAAACCAAAATAAAAATCACATGTTCATGCCAGCATAAATCTCAAATCATGCATCCACTTCATCAGTCTTTATAAACTTGCCATTTTCTGGTAAAACACTGTTATCTGTACTCATTCTGCAAAAATTCAGTATTATAATGGAAATTCAAAAAAAAAGAAAACATGATTGGTACGAAGTTGAAACAGTAAGAAACCGCAAAGAAACTGTTTTAGCACAATCGATGTACTCAATCTTGTTTTGTATATGCTCGCCAATTACATTAATTGACATTCAATTGATAATAAAAATAAGTGCGCATTATTAAGAAACACCAATCACTAACCTGGGTAAAATGTCTTGCTTCATTTCTTTTACGTTCTGTTTCTTGCTTGGTGATTCAATCATTGGAAGATTGGCTTTCAAATAATTCAGCGATTCACTATAATTACAATGGACGCAAGTGCTGATAACATTTAGCAATTAATATTTCCATGAAGTATATATCTTAGTTTTATATGATGTTTTTAACATTAATTCTCTGCTCTTCTACATTCAGAACTTACATTGTTTATTAAACATTCCAACTATTCCTCTAGAGTCTCAAGAATTACGATGACTGACCTATATCTTATCAGTATACAGAAAATTCAAAACCAACTTTGCGCGCTTCAGCAACAAAACATTCGGCTCGAGTAAATCACCCAATAACTTATCCTCGAAAACAGGCAATGGAGTGTTTGGATGCAGTGCACGATACTTCATAGCTTTGCAAACATTTTGCAGCTTTGGATTGGGTACATCACGTGGACGTAGAGTCTCCTCAAACTGTCCTGTTTCCGAGTTACTAAATTACTTTAGTCATATATATAATGTCATTAAGTTGATTATATTCATATATAGGTTTCTTTTAACTTCAGTTTATATTTAGATGTAATTTTCAAATTATTTCTTATACTCTAGCAAAAAAAGCGCGGAAAATTAAACGTACAAATGAGCTTTCGTGAGATCCATTGCTTTAACAAATGCATGCATTGCGGTAAGATGATCATCTAGAAACCAAAACACAAATGTTAGCGGGCAAGTTATGCTTCGCTACATTATTGGGAAATTAAAATTGTCCGCAAAATAAAATAAAAAGAGTTGTTTTCTACTGCGGTCCATAAATAACATTCAAACAACAGCTTATAGAACTTATAATACTAATCCCAACTACAAACACTTATTTATTCAGTTTTGGAACACTCTAACCCATAATTAATACAAAAATCTGACATGCTATTTCATATAGATATAACGAGCATAGAACGCCTTTGCTACAAACATTAGTGGCATGGGCATGTCAATAAACAAAAATGTAGTCGCAAAAAAAAAGTGCAACGTACTTTTTGATTCAGCTGGAGAACTATCCAGTTGTGGGAAATCAAGTCCACGAAAATCTTCATAAAATGGTAACTGAATACCCACGAACATCTAAAAAATGAAGTTAATCAATGTACGTCGAAAAGTAAAAGAAAGAGAACATCCCTAAAAAAAGTGTGAGTTTATTTTTGGAAAGAAAAGATAGAATAACAGTTCCAATCAAACAGTTGTATAACAGTGACTCTTTATCGTCATTAATTACCATTAAGAAAATAAATATTTCTTATTTCTTAGAGCATACATCGATTCCTTTTTTACTTCTTCTTGGAAATAGTCCCATAATTCGAGGCTGTGACGCAGCATTACAAACATATCGAGTTAGAGCAACACTATCTTCAACGATCATCGCATTCACAAGTGCTGATATAGCAATGCAAGCATTCTAAAATGTTGGTTTGAATTTACGTGAGGAAAGGAAAAATTCATTGACTAATGCTAAAACACAATTACCTTATCGAAAACTGATGGAATGAAGTAATAGGCGCCACCATCCATCAAATAGTGCTCCAATATCTGAACTAGAAATTAAGT